ATCCATCCTTTATGTATCTCTTCATCTAGGCCTTTGCCTATGTGGTGTCCTTTTCCAAAACAAGAGGCTTTCAAGTTCGTGCATGAGCCACGCAAAGCTCACGAATTATGGAAGGCCTCACAAATCAACTTGTCAACGTGAAGAAAGAAAGGTCCATCCTTTGGAGTCCAACTTGTCTCAGCCTCGTCAAGGATTCCTGTTAAAACGAGCAGAAATCCCAAATTGGGCTTTGAAACCAGCTCTAAACCATCAATGTACTTCTGTCGCGTCCTGTCTGGTAGCATGCCCAAATTCTGCTTCAGCTCGCTTGCAAAGAAAGGTGACGTCTCCCAATTCCTCACAGAGTCCACGACGTCAAGAAAGCAATCGTACCATTCCTCCCCAGGACTTGCACTTTGACTGGCCACCTGAAAAATGTCTGACAATCGCCACATAATAGCCTCGAGCAATATTCCTTTCGGTCGCTTTTGAGGGAGGTATTCCTTGATTGCAATGATCGCAGCTCTGGCCGCAGGCGTTTCAGCCAAGAACCGGTTGATGCGCGCCGAATTCTCGTAGAAGTCCTTCCCTCCGCGTAGGTTGGGGAATTCCTCCGGTCGGGGATTCGCAAGGACGAGGTCGACAGAAGGGCCCTCCCGAAGAAGGAACTTGATGGCCACATTTCCGATTCTGACAGGCCCGGTCACACAATCCAGCTTCTCCAAGTTTTGTGCCACCTTGCGCTTGTCAATCTCCGTGAAGGGATTGTCTGCCATCTTGCTGCCTCCCCCCCTCGTCACCTGAATATCAAAATCCGAGTCTTCCAAAGAAAAGGTGCCTTTTATTGGCGATCCGATTAGCTGGACATTAATGTCATTGCCAAGAGCATGGCTGCATGCGCGCGCCACGCCTGCGAACGAATTCTGCGAACCCTGTAAGCATTCCAATACCGCATGCATGGGGATCAAGACTGACGTCATATATGACGCCACAATCCGGTCTCGTTGTGTTTCGAGCAACTTGAACTTGACCCAGACCGGCTGTCTATTCCATTCAACCAAGTGTTTGTCCACGACCTCCATAGTTCGGGTATTTCTGCCAGCTTCTGGGAAAATATATGGCAGCTGCGTTGGGCTTCCCGGCCATTGTAGAGTCAAACAAACGCAAAATGCTGCAACCATGCCGACTACAAGCGGAAGGCAGCCCCACCCGTTGAATTTAGGTACAAGGCTTCTCTTGCGACGCCCAGGCTGGCCATTGCGGCTATACGCGTGATAGGCCATCCCTAGAGGACTTCAGTGCGCACATTTGGAACCGCCCAAACAGAATTAAACAATTCATCGTTTGGAACCTGAAGGACACAATGAAGAACTTTTGTGCCAATGCAAAGTATTCAAGTGAGCCTCATCTAAAAGCTAGCTGCTTCGGTGTAGGCAGAAGTGCAATCCAAGCGTTTGGCTGCAAAAGGCTGCAGGCAGCTTAAGATATTTTGAGCCAAACATATCCCAGCGCCCTGCGCAGACAAACCGTAAGCCTCCTTTCTCATGGGAGGATTCGGTCATCCAATCTTCCTATGAACACGATCCTGTAGCATGTGACGGCAACGGCATCTCAATCCTGAAGGCCTTGTGGCATTTTCGGACCCACTGGCAAGCTGCATTTCTACTGGCTGACAAAGAGTCCTAGCCATTTCAGGGAGCCCACCTGAAGTACTGTGGTTGTGTCGTTCGTGGGCTACGCCCTCACTGTAGGGTGATGGATTGGGTAACTCTCCGTGTTTTTCTGCACCCAACCCTGAAAGCAAAAGCAATCTAATTGATTTTGCCTCGAGCGCGTAGTCTACAGGAACTGCGTGTGTAGCTTGAGGTCATGTTACTGTACATCCTGCCAGGCATAGGGTCATGCACAGGCTATTACACCTAATATCCCTCCACAGCCAGAGACCATCTTGGTCTTGCAGCTGCCTTTGTGCTGAGACGCTGCTATGCCAGCACGTAGCACTTGGGATCTTGAAACTTCTCTCACCCTGCATTTGTTGGCACGTACCATTCCACGTCTGGCGCCGCTTGCCCGAAGAGCCAGTAGCCTGCTTTGAACAGGCCCTCTTCGTAGGTGTCTGTGGTCCCCCCGACCAGGCATGTCAAAATGGCATGTCTAAGCCGGCGGCATCCCCGGTACAGTATCAACATCGCTTTGGTTTTAGTTCAGCTCGACCAAGATTGGAATCCTGTTCGTGCAAATTTAAGTCGGGTGGCTTTGCAAAGAAATGCAATCAACAATGGGGAGGGCGCATGATAATGCAGATTTCAAAATTTGGACTATCGTTTTCTTTTCCAGATATTCGAGATCTCCTTGCTCCTATATTACCTTGCCCACTATGGCAAAAACCATTTTTCTATGACCATTATGAAAAAGCCTTCTAGATTTAGTTTACTCAAAACAAATAACATACTTTTGCTACTTGTCTTATTGGCTTGGCTGTTCCGCATACAAGCACTCCCGTTTTTACAAACGAGCAACCCGATTTTGAATGAGGACCATGTCCGTTTAAACAAGGAACGCTAATGGTGAATATTGCCTTTTCAAAAAATGGGCAATTGCATTTTAATGAGGAACATCCACGTTTGAATAAGGAACTTCTGATTGACTCCTCTGCTCAAGGCTGTGCAGATTGAATACGCTCAGGGCTCCACAAGACAAATAACAGAGACGCATCGTTCTGGCCCGCGGGTTCATCTCGAGACTCTTGTCCAAAATGCCCCCGTCAACCACAATGCATTTTAGAAGCCCGCCTCCCCAGAGCCAAGCCGAATCAACCAGCAGCCAGCCACATCCCCCAGTTGACCCAACATGGGTTGCCCTGACAAATTGAAAGAATGATTAACGTAGGTCTGCCGGCTTGGTTTGACCCATAAATTGGTCAAGTCGCAACACAAAACGAAGGGTCTCAAAAAGGGCCATGTGAATTCTCACAATTCGAGCCCCGAAATACCCGACAACGACGGTTAGGGGGGTTCTCCAAGCCGGGAAAGGGACTCGGAGTCCAAGAGGCTCGGTTCGATGTGACGGGGTCGGGCCAGATCTCCAGTCTCAGCGGTGCCTAGTGCCACGTCGGGAGCTTGGTGCCTCTAATGAGACCCGGCACGGGTTGAAAACGGAGAAAGCCCTTGGCAAATCCGCCTGGTTGATCACTACTTCCCGGGAAGCTGCTGGGTCTCTCCCATGGCGCTAACTTGGCGGGTGCTCGCAAGGTTCGAGGGAATTCCGTAGCTCTGCTGTGCCGCAGTGCCGTTGTCCTTGCGACCTGCCGGAGTGTATCAAATCCAGCCCTGCAGCCAAGTTCTGGGGCAAAGAAGCCCAATGGGATTCCCAGCCGGAATCCCCATCTGGGCTTTGCTTTCCGGGGGATCCTCAAATAGATCGAAAAGCCAACGTTGCAAGATTTCGGTGAGCGGTGACCTGGCCCAAATGGCAAGCCCTTGGAAAGCCCTCCGTGTTAGAGGGGTGACCGAGCCTCCGGAATCTACGAAGCATTGAACACGGAGCATCCAAAGGCCAAAACCCAAGGAAACAGAGCTGACAGCGCTTACTAGTCCCTAAAATGTTGAGTAGACTCCTTTACAGACTTTGGTCCACACTTGGTGCAGGGAATTGTGCTCGGGGTGCTTCACTGAGCCACCCATGGCACGCAACCTAATTACACGTTGTTTGGCTCCCCGCACCTGCCCTAAAGATGCGTCAACACCGATGTCGCTGCAAGATTGGTTTGGCCCTGAGTTCTTCATTGGTATGCTGGTCTTGTGTCTGACCTGTTCCCCACTTGACGGAGTGTCCGGAAACAAACGCCGAATCCAAATCAGAACCATCAAACACAGTCGGCAAGCTCTGTGGTAGACATGCTGGGGGCCTTGCCTCTCCTTCACTCTCCTCTCTGGCAATATGGCTCAAGAGCAGCAAAACGACGAACTGTTCGGAGGTTCAATGGAAAGTCCAACACTTCCCAAAATGCTCGGCTTCGGCATCCACCAAAGAGCAGCCACGCAAACACAGCGACAGGACCGGGCGTCTCTTTCCATGCGATCAGTTGGAGTTCCTTTTTGATTCCCCTCAGGCCTGTATTCGGACCAGCTGTCCCATGACCAAGACCAGCTGTCCAATTATTAGAGTATTGCAGTTGGTTCCAAGAATCTTTCGACACAAAGAGATGTCCCTTCTAGGGAGATTAGTAGCGATTTCCCATAAACACTGCATCAAAGGACAAAAAACACTTCTCGGAACCTACCGTAGAGTAGTTGCGCTGCTTGCATGCGCTGATCGAAGACAAACAATGAATGAGTAGAAGATTCGAGCTGACAAGTGCAGTCTCAGAGTAGAAACTGTCAGACTTGATGCTTGTGGCCCTAGACTCTGTGCATGAGTTTATGCACAAGGAATTGCAAGCCCCATGGCCTATGGCCCATAGGGCCCAGGCCAAGATATGAAATCTGCCATGGTTTTGCCCGTGGCAGATTTGTCCAGCTGGTATGTGAATCCGGCCGGGCGAACAAGCTTTCTGTCACAAGTGCATGTGCTTTCCTTACATGTGCAGCCCATAGCGCTCAGAAGAGAGAACTGCATCAAATAACGCGGCATGGACGACTGGTTTGCCCCACCGAAATGGTACACCTTCGCGTTCATAAGCAAGATATCGCCTTGGGTTTTCTTATGGCTCCAAAATAATCAATGATCATGTCCAAATGTTCCCTGAAAAAGGAGCCACCCAAAAAACATAACCACCTTAAAATAATCTAGGTCACCCTCGCGCAGTGTACAAGCTACCTGGGCACCCTCTGCCAGCTCTTCGATGGGATCCACAGCAACATCCACATCCACACCTATGGGCGAATAGACAACACCGGCAGCGCACATCCGCTTCAATCTTACGCGGGCATGGAACTCGCTTGTGTGCGTTCCTGGGTAGATTGTTGTTGGACCCATGGTCATGTGGATATCTTGCAGCGCCACAAAGGTTGTTAAGAGCGAGCAGTCCACTTGCCCGATGTCTTTGTGCACCTGCTGACGCTGCGCACCTGGTAAGGAAACAATCGCACCCAGCTCCACAAGCTCGCAGTCAGCACACGTTGCCTCCAATAAGCTCGTGTATAGCTCCTTCTGTCCGGTCAAGATGTGCAGCAGCGCGCCCTCCACGACTGGAGAGAGGGGTGGCACAACACAATGCCGATTCCATGGGCTTGCAACCGTGTCGAAGAGCCGCAGAAAACTGTATGTCGTGCTTGCGAGATTTGCATGTAACTGTTTCTCCAGCTGGCTGCGTACTGCCCTCGCAGAGTCGTGAGGAAGAGCATTCCGAATGACAACGAAGCCATTCTGCTGATATGCTTCCGTATGTCGCACTTCACATCTGCTGCGACGATTGCGGCTTGACAGCGCAGCTGTGACAATTGCTGCTCCGCATATGAAACGCATGCCGTCACCATCACATGTTCTTGTATGGTCTAACTAATTCAGCGCTGAAGCTGTCTTGAACCAAGAGCAAATCGATGAGATCAGTGCATAGTACCGAATAAATCTCCTTACTCCGCGATGCATTACAAAGAATGTACAGTATAGGGCGTCCCGGTTCCGAAACGCAAAGCCCAAGAGCCCAAAACAGGGCTGGGGCGAGGGGTCACCCTGCAGTTGAAGCCACCTGGAGAGGTTGGCTGCTCGGGCAACGACATGTTTGACCTGCTTGACTTGTCCGCCTCTTCCAGGGGAAGCATCAAAAGGTTCGTCAGTAGGAAATGCCGTGATAATAACCCTAGGCTTCGAAATCAATTGGCGGTAACAAGCCTTGCGATAATGGGCCTGCAGTGTTAGAGCAGTGCATTGACGGCACAGCAAGAGGATGTTCTGCTGCGATCAGCTTGGGCCAGTTGGGGACGACAAAAATTTTCCATGTAGGCGTCCGTTCAGTCAAACAATGCTGAGAGGAGTGAAAGAAGCTGCGGCATTTTGTCGTTCTGGCAGGCTTAGCTGGAAGCTGCAGCTACCTTCAGAAAGCATGGGACGGCTCCACATAGATCTAAACATGCATTTCGATTGTAAGGCCTCCCCTCATGCCGGGTTCCCATTGATCTAGTAGCATCCTCAAAAGGAGCCAGGAAATAATCAGCCGAGAGGGTACCAACCAAACCCAAGCCCCAAATTTGGTGCACGACTGGCCTTCCACTTCCGGATCAGAACCGTCCGCATCGGGATGATGGAGTTATGCAAGTGATCCGGACCTCGCCGAACCAACAAACAAACCACAGTAAAAGTATGGTGACTCACCGTAAAATATGGATGCCTTTGGGCTGAATGAGAAACCACAAACAAATCAGCACTTTAAAGATTCCTATTGGAGACAACTCAGTATGGTCTACGAAATATGCAATTTACGAAGCCCTTTCCATGCAAAGCACGGCCTTTCAAATTTGGGGTCTGTGCGCCAAACAATGTTGGGTCATTCTTAGTGTGCAGAAGCTACCTGAAGCTGCCGTTGGCGCTGCTGGTTTTGCACATGACAATGGATGTCGGCTCTTAGATCTTATGTGAGGCCAGGTTCCAAAACTGTCAGGTGCTGCAGTCCTGCGCCCGCCTTTAAAAACACTCGGACATGAACGCGCAACAGGAAAGGACGCCAAGCACCTGCATCGGGGAAAGAGCGCAGAGAAGCTGACAGAGCAACGCGTCATGAAGCCAAAATATTTTGGTCCATCCCATATCTTACCTTCTTCGCGCTGCTCCGCAAGACGCCGAGCCGCCGATCTGCGCCCTAGGCACGCAGCGGCTGTGGCCCAGGGATTGGCGCGGGCAAATAGCCTCAATGGCTGAAGGCCCCGAAGCAACGAGCCAAGTTCTTTTTCCACGAGGCCTGTCTGATATGATCAGATCGATTGTCCAGCAACTGGGGCATCGACCAATTGGTGAGCTATCTCTTGCAAAGGTGTTGGTTACAGGGCACTGGGTCTGAATGTCTTGCGGTCTGAAGTTACTTTTGTCTGATTGGTGAGCCCCCAGTTCAAGGCTGCCTCTTTGCCACTGGCCCACCTGCAGCCAAGACTACCTTCAAGGCACCCACAAACTTTTGTACCCCCCCCCAATCATCTATTTTTGGCACCCACAAAAAGGCCCTTTGACTAAAGACGCCCTCTCCGAATCCATTCCAAAAGTCGTTGCCCACACTTCCGCTGATGCTGCTTCCTGCGTCCTTTCGTAGTTCCAAGAATTCCCTTCAGGTCTCACTAAATTCAGCTGCCGAGACCGAGACCCAACACATTTCTTGTAACAATTTGTGTGAAGGGCACTTTGACAAGCTAAAGGGCACGCCTCATTGAAGGCTGGCCCCCCATCATACAGACATAGGAAAGCAAAACTGCGAGATCCCTTTACCGTCCTGTTGGAATATTCGCCAGAGAGCACGGGATTATACCCAGGTCACCACCCCAAAGCAAACCTCTTTCTCAGCACCCTGTTGAACGTGACGTGGGGGGGGGACATATCAGGCAGGGGGAACCATTGAGCGGCGTTTCCCAGATGGAGGTCGCCTAGCAAACGCTTGGAGCCAGAGGTTTTCCCAGTGCAGCACGAAGAGCCGAGAGATCGCACCAGCCGGTGAAGTAGATCTGCCTCGCTCCGACCGTGCGACCCTTTTTGTGGTGAAATCTTGTGAATCAAGGCAGAGTTCTACACAAAGACCACGTCTCAGCAAACCGCGCAGACACTTGGTCAACATACACTTGAGCCAAATAACATATAAGCAATAGAAACACAAGCAAGGCAAACCTTGGCGCATATAATCCGAAGCGGGTTACACGTAATTACCTTGCACATCGACTCACAAATCACCTGCCTTTGTGCTACACGCGCGCTCACAAATCAGCCGCAATTGCGCTGGGATTGGCAAACCACACCCCTCTCCTGGGAACTGTGACTTTCAATGAGGGCGACCAAATGCCCACCACGATTCGGGGTATCGGGAAGAGTCGCACCAACTGGCCAGGCAGCCGGGACGTCAGTTCTTGCTCTGCAAGGCATGGAACTTTGCATCAGCCAATGCACATGTGTATGGAATGGAGGGAAGGTTCAATCTCATGTTCCCTGCCACAACCAAGCAAGAGTGTTGAGCACCAGTGTTTACTCCTCCTATGCCGTTGCCGTGCCTGTTTGCAAACCCTGGTTGGTTGCAAACGAGGTTGCGCCCCTCCTTTTCCTGTTCCAGTCCTCTTTGAGGGGCGGGACGCCAATTTACAGAAACGGCAAGCTGGGGTCTTGTCATGACCACTGTTGCTTGCGCAACCAGCTATAAATGGGGTCGTGGCTGGCTGTGAAGCTCCTCTTTCAGCTGACAATCAATCATTCGGCCTCTATTCGTGTTCAAGAGGTAACTTGGTCAAACAACAAAACAAACCCTATTTATTTCTGAGCTGATGTTCTGGTTTTCTACTTCACCCTTGCCACCAGCCGCGGCCGGCCCCCACCACTCGCCTCGGTGGCCGATAAGCGGCGCTGCTCGCACTCCGCCAGCAGCACGGAGCTGGCGAAGTCGTCCGGCGCCACCTTGTCCTGCAGCATGGCCTGCGGAGAGAGCCGAAGCCATGGGTGCCAACCTGCCCAATGCTGGAAACTTGAACACACTCCTATTAACTAGCCGCAGCTTCAAAGGAAGCCAACCAAATGAAAGCCAAGTTGTTTTGAGTTTTGAGCACCCTTATGAGATATATTGAGATAACACGCATTAAGCCATTCCCCTGCTTCGAACACAATATGGCGGTAGAACAACATTGTCTCTAGGTTGAGGTTTTTTGTGGTTGTACGCCCAAACTGCAAACGCCACCATGGAAAAACACACAGGGTCTGTGCAACATATGCTAGATGTCTCTCGGCGATACCGAAACTTAGTGCCCCAACCCGATCCTCAGTTGACTTGGAGACGCAGGGTCGTGCTTTGTAGTTCGGCTCAGTTCTCTTTGACTCTTTCAGTATGCCTCAAGTAGTTTCAGCATCTGCTGCCAGCGGCCGCGGCAAGCTTGCAAAGCCGTGTTGTAGCAGACCTTATGTGAGCCACAATCGGACATCCCAAGAGGTACGCGCTGTCAAGTCTGGGCCGGCTGACTTTTGGATGTTTACCATCGCAGGGGGCATTGCAGTACACCCTAACAGCACCAACTCAGGCCAGTGTCAGACCTTGAGATGCTTGTGCAAGCTCAAGCCGGCAAAAAAGAAAACAACCACCGCCCAGTCGCTTTGGACGGCTCCTTGAGACCTCAAATCTACACCCGCCCTTCCTGAGCAGAGCGCTGGCCCGAGCTTGAAGCCGCTGCGGCGCAGCTCCTGGAGCTTGATGAATCCAGAAAGGCTCTACAACTCTTGGTGTAGCAAAAAGCGGGGCGTCCTGCAGCCCCCCCCAGCAAAAAATAACAGAACCTAATAAAGAAAAACCAACCAACTTGTCAAGTGAAGGTGTTGGTCTAGCTTCTGATGCCATGCTTTAGAAGACCACGCCTACCCCTAGGGCCGTTTGCACTGCGCATAACTAGGGCGCATTTTCATCTGTTGGAGCGGAAAGCCAGGAGCCAAGCCTGAACAAATCCTCTCCCTCTGCGCGTGTTACCGCGGCATCTAACCTGCTCTTCCTTTAAAACCCACTTTCTGGGGGCCAAACCACGTGCTCCTGGGCCCGGGGAATGGCTATATACAATTTATGTACCAATTTATTTAAGCTTCTGTCGCATTTTGCAGGGCACCAGTCCCCAGCGCGATCTGAACAATCGAATTCTGATTTTGATGCTGCCATTCACATCTTAACGCCGCCCCAGGTGTACATGGTTGGGACCTCTTTCCCACTTCCCAGTCACGCAGCAGAAGGCGCCTCCAAGATGCACAGCGCCAGCGGCCACTGCGAGCCCCGGGCGCTGGCGCTCATGGCAGCCCCAAAGCCTCGCTCAGCTTTCAGCTTGCCCGGACCCCATCACTCGCGGAAGCTAATCTCTACTGGGCCACGTCAAGCGACCGTAGGCTTTAGTCCTTGTGTCCAGTTTGACCCACAGCCGCACCCATGTAGAAATATCAAGAAGCAGATGGCACGAGTAACTACCTTTTTGTAGGTAGGTACGGGGATGACTAAACCAACATTAGTGAAAATACGTCTTTTACTTTCACCAAACTGAATGGATACCGGTCTCCAATATCATGTAGCAGCTCCGCATCTGGCCTATATCTAACGAGGGAGCTCGCTGGGCAAACACGCCCTGAATCCATTTTTGTTTGCCAGCCACCGTGCCGCACACCCTTGGTCATGCCCTTATCGGGGGCCTAGCTTTAAATATGCCGATGATGACTTGGTTGCTCTTGACCCCCCTGCAAAAAGTTTAACTTTTTGGGGGTTTAGTGGAAAACCCCTTGATTTCCCAAAAAGCTAAAGCCTAAAGATCCAACCCAATAGCAGTCAAGATGATGGCCCTTCAACAGCTCAGGTCTTCGGCGAATCAAAGGGCGCCAGTTGCAGCTTGGCATCTCACAACTGTGGGCTTCAAGCGCTGGCACTTCATCTCCTGACGTGTCTAACCTCTGAAGTTGCAAACACTGCTTCTGCAAGCCCCTCAAACAAAAGCCATGTGCTTGAGCCCCCTGGAAAAGGCAACTACATTTCCAGTAGTAATAGTTTCCCTTTGAAAACAGCAGCTGAAAATAGAACCATGTTCTTAAGCAAATGGCAAAAAACGGTTCGGACATTGGAGGCTCTCGCATGTCATCGCCCTTCGCAATGGTTCTCAAGAGGATTCGGCAGAAGGGTTACGGGAAATCCTTGAGACTCACCGATGCCTATGTGTGCAACATGGACGCCAAGCGTGTCAAAAATGGACACCTCCAAAACCAGGATTTCACCTACCATGTCTGCGTATAGAAACCGAGTGCAGCCCAGTTTCGCATCCATGATAGACATACTTTTAGGGAGAGCTCTGGGAATTGGGCACTGGGCGTCCCGGCATCGGTCTCTTCTGCCAGGGGCGCTAATCAAATGGGCGAATTGGATGTTGGCTCTCAATAGGGTTGGCTTCAAGAACAGCCCCCCCTCAACCCCCAGGCATGTTTCTTAGAACCTTGTTAAACAGGGCTCGTAGGAGGGTCCTGAGAACGTTGTCGGGTGGGGGGGCTATAATTGCTTCGTGTTTGTCGCACACTTCGGTAACCATTTGGTGTATTCTTCAAAGTCCCAGCTTGCTCCTATTTGGTGGTTTCGTTTGGTTTTGGACGTCGGGTACCTTCCCTATTTGGCTTCAAAAGGAATTGAACTGGTGTTCAAGCGCCACCAATCCAAACCAACTAAAGCCTGCTGGTACTCAGCAGGGAATGCCCCAAGGGTTTGGGAATACCTAGAAGTTCCCTCAAAGGAGACCATCGGGGATGGTTGTTTGTGGGGGACATTCCAACTCAATCCTTGCTCAGCACCAGCAAGAAAGGCTTCCTGCAACTCCCTCCTGCAGCACAGCCAAAGCCTCCGGCCACTTCTCGGCCTTCTCCAGGGCAGTCATACTGGCGCTGTAGGTCACGGCATCCTAGACGCGCCGCGCCACGTGTGATGCCAGCGTTTGTGTGAGTCTGCTTCGGCAGTCCCGCTGAAACGAACATGTTTAAACCTCAACTGCGAACCAGATGCAGCTGAGAGAACCAGAAACAGCCTGATGAATCCGGACGAACAGCTTGCCATGAGGACACCAAAACGCCTCCGACCCCTGGCGTCAAATAGGGGGGTGGTCTGGGCAAACAGACGTAAATTACCAATCCCCAATTGCCTTCGTTTTAGAACCCAGCTCTTGCAATGTTCCAAAAGCTTAAGCAGTCCCCATGTAACAAATATGCATCATGTTCACTGCGTGTTCCTTCCAGGTTTCATTGGCAGTCTGCTTGCTGCTCACCACCCCAGAGCTGGCCTTAGTGTCCATGCCCTCAAAGACGGCCAGCGCCGCCTCCGGCGAAAAGGCTTCCGAAAAGGAAACTGGGCTTGCTGCATGTCCAGAGCCGGCAGATTGCGGAGTCAAGCCCGCAAACAGCACAGCCCTCGAACCCCAAGCAACGCCCTCAAACAACCTGTTGCCCAAACTCGACCTTCGTGCAGCCACCTGGTTTGCTCCAAGCCCTGAACACAAGGTCGATCGCCTCTAGAATTTTCATGGCAACATCCAATTTGTGAAACCCCCAAAGGTCCTTCTGGGCGATAAGGCCACTGTCTTGCAACCCCCTCTGGAAAATATGTACTGTTTAAACCAAAACGGTGAAAGTCTAAAGATCCGTTACCAAATAGCCATAAAGCATCCCCACCCCCTTAACTGAGGGGGACGTCTGAAAATGTTATTTGCATTTTCTGGGGTTTGGCACCTAAAAGTGTAAGATTACATTTTCTTCGGGGGACGTGCCAAATGTAAGATTACATTTGGACGCTGGTGGACCTATCATCAGGAACATAACCAAGTTGCAATTTCATGAACTTGCCCTACTTCAAAAGCCTCTGCGCATGCGCCACATCTGTCCCTCAAGCATCATCAGCTTACATTTTGCGACTCCCCCAACTTTTGTTGGGGGAGGGGGGGGGGGTGAGAAAGATAAACTTTCGAGGTGCTCAGGTGTCAAGTAATATTTTAACCCCCCCCTCCCCCCCAAAAAAAAACGGATATACACACCTGGGGGCGGTCCCCTTACATTTCTTTTTTTTGGGAGGGGGGAGGGCGAAGATGCAAATTACATTTTCAGACGTCCCTCCCCCATTGTCGGGCCCTAAGGTGAAAAAGCCCCGGTATGGCGGGCACTTAGGGTCTATTCTTGGCAACCTCCTTCGTTGAGAGCGCTGCTTCGTGTTTTTTTTTTTTTTGGGGGGGGGAGCGGTTTTGGCTGCAAAGCTCGCCCAAACCCATGCATCTCCGTCGCCATCCCCGCGGCCTGCCAGGCGCCGTTGCGCTCGCAGGCGCTCAGCGCCGCGTTGAAGACCGCCACATCCCTTCGCACCGCCCGCGCCTCACTCGCGCCAAAAAGGCGCGCTTGGGGCGCGCTTTTCACGTGGCGCGCCTTTGGATTTGGGGCCCAAGAAAAAGGAACCCAAAGGACCGACATATAATTACCGTCTTGGGGGTGCTTAAAAGGGGGAAAAAGGACTGAACGCCATGGAAAGGTTCTAAAAGACACATGCACATTTGGAGAAATCTCACAGTTGATTTGGCTCCAGGGTCCGCTCCGAGGAAAGAGGATGCGCTAGGTGCATGAGGTTGTCGTGTCTCTTGCAAGAATCCAAGGGGTGAGGTCTGGTTTCCGTAGGTTCTGCCGTCGTGTTTGTTAGAAGTGTTCCTAGGTTTGTGCCTTTGTAGGTTTGTTCAACGCTGGGCGTTGCGTTGTCTGTTTCTTTTGCACCACGCCATTACATATTTCGAAGCATGGCCTTGCAGTCGGGCGCAAGTCCGCCGCTGTTGCAAGGAGCCAAAGGCACGGTAAGGTCTGTCTGCGGACAGACCAGATTCCTTAAGGGTATCTATGAAACCAGAGGGCACAGTCCATTCTTGCTTTGCTTGAAACATCTTTGCTCGTTCACCTCTACGACACGTCCATGTGGAATTGTCTAAAGCTAAACACTCGTTGAACTGGCTGCCTTCCGCTTGTTGGGGCCATCCAAAAGGGGTCCAACCCGGAGTTGTGCCGTCGCCTGCCATTGGCTTAAAATGGCCAACCACAAGTGACACCCGTCAATAGATTCCCCGTTTCCGGCATGACAGGCACCCAAAGGAGGCTCCCCAGAAAGGCTTCGTTAGGGGTCATTCCGTCAGTCCCTGCTGAGGAATCCCTTTCTGTTTAAGTGGGTTCCTCACTAAAGCGGAGTCAAGCTCCCAACAAGCTAACTTTTTCTCAAGTCTTGAACCCCAGAACCCAAACCCCGCCATGAACGCCTCATGTTCACCTCAGAGGGATTGTGTCCTTGAAATCAAAATCATCTGAGCGCACCAAAGCGCATGTGTCTTGGGAGCCCAGACCCCCAGATGCCATGGGCAAAACAGTTTAACCGGGGGACTTTTATTTCAAACCCCAAGAGGCCATGGGGAAAACAGGGGACTCTTCTTTCAGTTGATTGCAGGCGGAAGCCCCCCCTTGAAAAAACAAGGGTTCTTCTTTCAGTTGGGTTTAAACCGACCTAAAACTGAAGCAACACACTACAGACAGACACCGACGTTGAAGCAACCCGCAGCTCTCTCCGGTCGCCCGCTCGCCTGCATCGTCGCCAGCAGGGCCAAGGCCTTGCGCCATCCGCCCGCGCGGCCGCAGGCGCTGATGCAGGCGCTGCACGCCACCGCGTTGCAGGTCCCTGCCTCGGGAAGTCACTCGACGCATTTGCTCCCTTCGGGGGTATCGCTTGCGGCTGTCTATCGGGACCATCTATATATATATATGTATACCTATACATATATATATATACATGAACTAACTATAGTCATATGATATACTTCCCCTCCATTCTCATAAAGAACAACTACCAGCATACTCAAACATCCACTGCAACGAGGAAATATCATAAAGAACAACTACCAGCATACTCAGACACCCACTGCCCAAAGGGAACCTGAAAGGGACACCTCGGAAAAAGCGGGCAACACAAATGCTTCCCTGCAGGGCTTGCTGATTTGCATGGTTCAACGAGGACAAGGGATCCAATCGTCCAACAAAGCGATTTGGCTTTTGGAGCCAGAGGCACCCCTTGAAGGCTCAATGAAGTAGAATGGTTCAAGTTGGCGTAGAAGGCTCGGACGGGCAGCTTGCAGCGCTGTGACGGAGCCGAAGACTAGCAGCAAAGACTGGAAGGAACTGGACTAGACTTTGTGAGTCTGTCCGCTGGCAAGGCTGGCCCAACTTTCCGTGCGATCTGAAGGGCAACAGCAGGCATGTTTCAAGAGATGAGGACTCTTTGAGCCAATTGTGATACGCCAAATGCGCTTTCTCCTAGGCGCCCGATGTCTGAGTTGGGCTGCGCCAAGGTCCACCGAGAATGGGCAACTTCCACGTGTGGAGGTCGGAACCCCACTTGCTTCCATGTTCAGAGCGGCTTGGGAAAACTAAAGAATCACTTTCTTTCTATGCGTCTGACATTCAAATGAACATGCAAGACATGAACTCTGAGACTTGCTGGGTTCCGCGTCAAAAGCAACCCTTGGGGCGCTTTCCCTCGGGCTCCCCTTTCCGACAAATGCCGCCGCCACTTGCGACATGGTGAAGAGACATCAGCTGCCGCACCTCCAGCATCACCCGCAGAAAGGCCAGGGCCGACGTCCAGGCGCTGCCTCGCAGTGATCCCTTCGTATCCCAAACAACCCCGCCATTGAAGCAATGGTTGGGTGATTGAAGAGAATGGGCAAATCAGCCCCTTGAAACAACGGTTGGGTTAAGATAACCACCAATATTTACGGTTGAGGATTGTCATCATTCAAATTGGGTCCTTGCCATTCCTTTAATGGGGGTTGAACCCCAGGCTGCTGCGATAGGTAGGGAATAAGTCCGGGTTTGCGAATGCGCCCTTTTGGGGCCTTCCCCACCCCCCCCGGGGGACCCCCCAATAAAGGACACCATAGGGAAGTGTTCATAGGTGCTCCCCAGTATGTTTTTCGAGTCGAGGGGACCTCGCCAAAATGGCTATGGCTCAAAAAACGGCTGTGAATCGTTCCTCGCTGATCCGCTGATCCGGACTTCTGGATCGGTATGGATCACCTACGTTTTGGTCTGGATCGAGGGTCTGGATCGCTTGTGGGCTCGAACCTCTGATCCGGCCCTTAAAGTTTGAGCTGTAGCCAAATGGCTTTGGTTTCCCTTTTGTGCTCCAGGAAAAGCACCAACAAAAAGGGCACACGCAGCGGTGCTCTCCCAGGGGTATGGGGCAACTGTCAAGAATTTGATTGGTTGACAGAAATCTTTGCGCGGGGGCGAGCATCCATCGTGCGCCCTGGTTGAATGCTGAGTTTTGTCAACGCATAACGGTTCGCAAGGAGCACGCGCCGCGTTCAAGAGACACTCTCTGCCACTTCCAAAAGAGGTGCGTGACCAGACTTGGTAGTGTAGCCGCATCCAAATGCCAACATGCCCAAACGCGACCCCCCAAAATGGGAGGAACTTGAATCTGGAAGTCGCGTTGGGAGCTCCCTGGCACCTCCGGAGCTGTCGGTTTATAGACAAGCTTCCAGCAGAGTTTGCGCCGAAGCAAAACAAACAAACATGCACGAATACTTTCCTGCACAATGGCATGGTCCCCGAAAAGCCATGCAAGGAAGCCGGAGGAAGCATTTATTTGGTTCCAGGTGGATCTTCCGTAAGGCTTCCTGAACTGAACACTTACCAACCAAAACTTCAGTTTTTGCACTCTCCTGCAAAACTGCGACACCCCACGAACCACCACATGAAGCATTCTTAGGGAGAAGTGCGGCTGCAACATTGCAAGGCGCTCGCTAACACCAGCAGTGGCTTTGAGCATGTTTACACCCTTGCGCTACCCCTCCCGGCAACACCACAAGCTTCGTGAGGTGGGGGACTGACAATCTTGAATATACAGTCCTCGGATTTTGTCCCCCTTAGGTTTTAGAATGGGCCCAGTGTCCAAGAGTGTTAAATTCTGGGAAAGCTCTTCTAGCAAGTAATCCATGTCTTCAATACGTAGGAAATGAATATCGACCGATTCAGATTCAGCCATCACTGCAGACACATGCAAGTGATGGAGGGTGTCCTGCAACATTGACGACACTCGGGCAATTCTGCTGGCACTCGTCTAGGGTTGTCCGGGATTGGAACTGTCCTCTTCGGTCCGCCTGGCTTACTAATTGGTCTGGCATGTCGCGTACTGATTAGACTCATCTCTCGATGTTTCCATTGTTGAGTTAGTATCATTTAGAATTGGCAAGGGGAACTCCTGTTCTTGGGTATTCCTGAGCAAGCTGTATCATTGAATATCAGGGCAGGGCTGGGCTGCCAGCGGAAAATTGTGGGCCGAGCTCTTTCCAAGAAGTCCTAGAAAAAAGAAAAGAACACCTGTCGGGGGGGACCGAACTGTTTCCGAGCTTCTGTGAGCCAGTTGCCACAATAATGAGCCAGTGCCCTTGCAGCGGCCGTTTTTGGCCAGCCTTGATCACAGGCCCGAATGCAAGAGCTGTACGTGATGTAGTCGGGCTCCAGCCTCTTCCTGACACCAAGTTCGGGCCTGAGGAACCCGGCCAATCAAGAAGCCCCCCGCGACGCTGGAACTTCCATCTGGTGTGCCACGCTGATACTCGATTTGAGCTTGCAGCTATCTAATTTCATGCCAATAGCCCAACTGAACCTCATATAGTTTTGACCTTGGCTGAGGCCTAGAAACTCCATGAAACTTCTGCTTGCCATAAACTCATGCCCATCCACTTGCTTCAATAAGCAATCACGTGCGGAAGACCTCGCCCCGCGCTCGCAGGAAGTTCTACAAAACATCCAAAACCTTTTGCCCTCACCATCCCCATTCCCAAACGGCTACGCTTTCGCAGGTCAGCATCGGAACCGGCAGCATGAATCCCGGGTGATACAGGACAAAGCAAACCACAGAAACAAGGGCGAGGCTGACATAAGAAATGCACCTCTTTACCTGTCACCCCTCCCCTTACCCCTCCCCAGGGGCACGGTTTCAGACTATGGCGGGGGGGGGGTTCGCCCGTACCACGCGGTGATTCCATTCTTTTGGGGAAAAACATTGTGTTCGATTTTTCCCGGGTCCGCTTTTGCATCCTTAGCACCTTCTGGGCAACATCGCCAGCATCACCTGCATCATCCGCATCAGCGCCTACCCTACCAAGGATGCGGATGATGCAAGTGATGCTGGGGATGTTGCCCATGCTGGTGAAGGAACGTCTGGAAATGAAGGAAAAATGCATGGAAATGAATGACATGAAGTGAAATGAAAGAAAGGGAGCAAAAACAGACATAAAGGGACATGAACCGAAGTGAAGGAAAGTGAAGGAAAGTGAAGGGAAATGAAGATCTTCGGGGGAAAGGAGCGAAAAAGATTTTAGGGGGGGGGGGGGGAACTGGGGAAGATCGGGGGGGGGGGGGGGATCGGGGGGGGATCGGGGGGGGGGAGGGAAAGATCTTGGCGGACAAAGGCCTCAGGGGGGAAAGGGGGGAAAAGCGAGGAAAAGGGAGAAGATCTCAGGGGGGGGAAGGCCTTAGGGGGGAAAGGGGGGAAAGGATCTCAACAAAGAAAGGTGGCAAAAGATCTTAAGGAGGAAAAGGGAGAAGATCTTAGGGGGGGAAAGGCCTTAGGGGGGAAAGGGGGGAAAGGATCTCAACAGGGAAAGGGGGGGAAAGATCGTAGGGAAGAAAGGGAGAAGATCTGGAAGAAAAGGCCTTAGAGGGGAAAGGGGAGAAAGGATCTCAACCGGAAAAGAGGGGAAGGATCTTAGGGAGGAAAAGGGAGAAGATCTCAGGGGGGGAAAGGCCTTAGGGAGGGAAAAGGGGGGGAAAGGATCTCAACAGGGAAAGGTGGGAGAAGATCTTAGGGAGGAAAAAGGGAGAAGATCTCAGGGGGAACAGGCCTTAAGATCTGAGGGGGGGAAAGGCCTTAGGGGGGAAAGGGGGAAAGGATCTCCACAGGGAAAGGGGGCAAAAGATCTTAGGGAGGAAAAGGGAGAAGATCTGAAAAGGCCTTAGGGGGGAAAGGGGGGGAAAGGATCTCAACAGGGAAAGGGGGAAAAGATCCTAGGGAGGAAAAGGGAGAAGATCTCGTGGGGAAAGGGGGAAAGGATCTCAACCGGGGGAAAAGATCTTGGGGAGGAAAAGGGAGAAGATCTCAGGGGCGGAAAGGCCTTAGGGGGGAAAAGGGGGGACAGGATCTCAACTGGGGAAGGAGGGAACACATCTTAGGGAGGAAAAGGAAGAAGATCTTGGGGGGAAAAGCCTTAGGGGGGGGAGGGGGGGAAAGGATCTCAACAGGGAAAGGGGGGAAAGATCTTAGGGAGGAAAGGGAGATGATCTGGGGGGGACAAAGGCCTAGGGGGCAAAGGGGAGAAATGATCTCAACAAAGAAAGGGGGGAAAAGATCTTAGGAAGGAAAAGGGAGAAGATCTCGGGGTGGGAAAAGGCCTTAGGGGGGACAGGGGGGAAAGGATCTCAACAGGGAAAGGTGGCCAAAGATCTTAGGGAGGAAAAGGGAGAAGATCTGGGGGGGAACGGCCTTAGGGGGGACAGGGGAGAAATGATCTCAACAGGGAAAGGGGGGAAACGATCTTGGGGAGGAAAAGGGAGAAGCTCTCAGGGGGGGAAAGGCCTTAGGGGTGAAAGGGTGGGAAGGATCTCAATAGGGAAAGGGGGGAAAAGATCTTAGGGAGGAAAAAGGGAGAAGATCTGGAAAGGCCGTAGGGGGAAGAGGGGAAAGGATCTCAACAGGGAAAGGGGGCAAAGGATCTTAGGGAGGAAACGGGAGAAGATCTCAGCGGGGGGAAAGGCCTTAGGGGGGAAAGGGGGGAAAGGATCTCAACAGGGAAAGGGGGGGACAGATCTTAGGGAGGAAAGGGAGAAGATCTGGGGAAAAAATGCCTTAGGGGGGAAAGGGGGGGAAAGATGTTTGGGAGCAAAAGGGAAATCTTTCTCAAGGGGAAAAGGCCCTAGGGGGGAACGGGGGGAAGGATACAAATTAGGGAGGAAAAGGGAGAAGATCTGAAAAGGCCTTGAAAGCATCCCTACAGGGAAAGAGGGGGAAAGATCTTAGGGAGGAGAAGGGGGAAAAGATCTTAGGGAGGAAAAGGGGGAAGATCTCAGGGTGGGAAAAGGCCTTAGGGGGGACAGGGGGGAAAGGATCTCAATAGGGAAAGAAGATCTCGGGGGGAAAAAAAGGCCTTAGGGGAGAAAGGGGGGAAAGGATCTCAGCAGGGAAAGGGGGGGAAAACATCTTAGGGAGGAAAAGGGAGAAGATCTCAGGGGGGGGAAAGGCCTTAGGGGGGAAAGGGGAAAGGATCTCAACAGGGAAAGGGGGGCAAAGATCTTAGAGGGGAAGGGGGGCAAGGGGACAATTCCAAAGGGACGCAAATAAGAAAGCAGACCTGTAATGTCGGCGGCCTGAGCCGGAGGCGTTAAAATATCAGAAAACGAGTTCACTCCTGAACTGCGATGCATCTAACCGCTCTTCTCCCAGATCCGCGAAAGAACCTTCTTGCCCAAGCGCAGTGGCATGTCATCTAGCAGGCGCAACGCTGCTTGCCACTGCGTTGAGGAGAGCGCGTGGATGATACTGTTGAAGGAGTAGCAGTCCTGTGGATCTCCCAAAACTGTTGCTCTCGACAGGGAGCATTTGGGGTCGCAAAGTTGAGAACACATTTGTCGAAGACGAAGAGTGGTACAATACAAGCTTCTGTCTTTGGGGGCGCCCTCGTTCAGAAGAGTTGGGAATGACTCCGACTCCGGTCAACAATTTGCAGGTTGAACACCAAAATGCTTTATTGGTAGCATCATTCCCTCACTGCCAAAAGCCAGCAAACAAAAGGGGTCTATCAACTGATGCTAGGTGGGTGTGTCCAAAAATAATGGCTGCTTCTCTCACACTTTAGCCAGCAGCCCATAAAGGTTCCATTTTTGAACAAAACCCGACATGCTAGCTAATTGAGAACGATCCGTGGAGAATTCCGCAAAATCCTGTCCACTCTTTTCTTCTCCTTTCCTCTCTTCCTCTCGCTCATTCCATTCCCAGCGAGTTAACGAGAGAAAGGAATCGATACGAGCAGAAAGAGATGGAACAGAGAATGGAAAGACCAAAAGCCAGGAAAGATAGACAGCTTTTGGATAAGTCTCTCCACCGTCCATTCACTACGCCCTGTCCTGTCTTTATGATTGCCTCGGGGATCGACCGAACAGGCGAGAGAAAGAGGCATGACATCTCCAAAATAATTACAGCCTAAGAAGCATTATGAATTAATATTACTTTCCATCCCTCTCTTCTCCTTATAATTTACTCTGTTTCTGAGGCTTGGTCATTTTTTTTATTTCTATCTTATGCGGTTGAAGATGCCCAAGGAAGCGGCATGCCCTGTCTCTATCTCTTCCCTTGCCGCTGCATCCGAGATTTGGAGGCAGGCGCGCTCCTTCTGTGGCCATGAGTAAAGGGAATTCAGACTGGTCTAAACACGTGCCCTCAGCTTCGAACAACTGGCTTCCAGGTCATACCCATCAGTGTGGGTAAAAATGCTTTCTGGCATGCCAAAATGCAAGGCATCCCTAGTCGTCCCTATCACTTGTCACTTTCGAGGCTGGAAAATAACACCAACTTCCTCAAAGTCATGCCCCTTCTGGAGGAGTTTGAACTGGAGTCGCGCATAAGCCGTCCCATCATAGTCGTGATCCCAAGCATACGTCAAGACTGTCCATAATCACAAAAGAAGCAGCAAATGTACAGGTCGTATCACAACAATACCCCATGTTCACTGCATGGCAACGTGCCAGAATCAATTCACCCCGCTTTCTGAATTCCATTCAGAATGGTTGCTACTCATGCTTGACAGCTGAACCACGCACAGGGCAGGCCGCGTACGGCGGGTCTCCTGCTGCATCTTTTGCCTGCCCATTTCATCAAAGAAGTCCAGCGCATCTTGCCAATGGCTGCTCCGTTCACAGGCCTCAGCTTCCTATTGCCCAGAACCATTGCGTGCATCGGATTGCGTGCATCGGATTGCGTGCATCGGATTCCGTCCCGCGAATTTCATGGATTGCAATCGACTTGCGCTTGCTCTCAAGAACGAGACACTAGGAATTGCACACTCACTGGAGCGCCCCTTCCAAAATATACAAGCTTACTCATGCCAATGAAACCTCCGGCTATTGGGGGGTGTCTTTGTCAGGAGTCGGACCCCCCAAAATGGCTTCGGCTCTTCCTTGTGGTTTTCCTCTCAGGGGGTACCCTCACCCATACAGGAATCGTGCAAAAGAGGCCTCATTTGGAAGAGAGCGGCATGGTCGGAGTTTGACCAGGCTCCTATTGCCTGCCAAATGCCAAGCGACGGAAAAACGGAACCGAACGCGCAGAACCAAGTCGCCAAGGGGCACTAATGCTGGCATTGTAATGCAGCCTCGGAAGAACGGCAGCACCCGAAAGAGACCGACAAATGGAAATGTCACAAGAGCCAAACAAATTCAGAACCCTCAAAATGAAAGACCATCTGCCAGGAACGCTGTTTCTAGCTAACTCAGCCTGAGTGATATCGCTTCTAACCTAGACTTCGCCCCACATGGCTGGCTTGCCTTTGACGAGCAACCACCTCCTAGCTAGTTTGCCCCTGCGCATTTCATTGCAAAAAGAAACCGCAGCAACCTTCAAACTGCCTGGCTCCGTTCACCCATTCTTCCTTTGCTTGGGATTCCTGCGCCCAACTGGCGGTTTCTCCCCGTTCTTGCGAGCCGCACGTTGCACGCCACCCGACCTTCCGCAGCTTGCGCCAGCAGCTCCCGGGCCAGCTCTGGCGGACTCCGCCGGTTCCTGCGCAACCGTTGGCATTCTGTGCCCTAGGTGTGCTTTACCAAGGCCTTTTAGCTAAGCTAAACGTTTCACTCGTTGGCTGAATGGAAAGCACCACAAAACCATAGAAAACTTAAAAAGCTAAGGGGATGGCTGGGAAAGGCCAAGTCAACGGGCATGCGAGCGTCTTAATGAGAGCGCTTCAGGCGGAAAACCTAGCTTCGCTGCCCCTGCGCTGGTTTCAACTTGTTTTGTGTCTCCCACTACACGTATGCTTGAAACAGCGGTCAGTGTCCGTGCAAGTGGCTGCAGAAGCCAGTCCACGTGGTGTTTCGAGACGGGGAGGCAAGAGCGTGATGTGCGCCAGGTTGATTTGAAACCTGGGGCCTTAAACGGCTGCAACATGGCTTTCCAGGCAGACAAGGCAGGCTTTCCAGTGTCAAGGCTAGAGGTGGCCTCGAGAAAAACGAAACATGGTTCAAACATGGTTCGAGGGTGGCACAAACACCTGGCTTTTGGTGCTCAGCTTGGTTTTGGAGGAAGGGGCTTGGCCCCATTCTTTCCCAACACTACCAGCTAAACTCTGGTACAAACCTTGAATATCCTTGAATATCCTTGAATATTAAGGTGGCTCAATCAAGAAAAGTTGTTGCTTTTTTGGCGGGCCGGTTGGGCAACCCTCCCAAGTTCTCCATCACAGACATCTCACCAGCTCCCCCGGCGGTGCTCGGCATCCTCAACTTCAGCAAGGCCCGGGTGAGCTCCTGAAGTGGACGCAACGCCAAGACGCGCGCGCTTGGGAATACATTTGCTAGGAAGTTCTTCGTTCATGTGCACGCGCGTCATGCTCACGTGTGTGTCCGAGCACTGCTTGCGCCGTGAATGTGTGCGCTCAAGCACATCGTGTGTCAGTTTCAAGTGCTTGTTCTTTACAGAAACACGCGTCTTCACATGCAGGTTTGTCTTCAAGTGCAACATGTTTGCGCGCATGGTATTCTGCATGGGATGGGCTGGCAATCTCTGGCGTCAAGTGACTGGCGGTGTGGGGCTGGGAAGGTGGTTGGGAACAAAACAGCTGTTGCCCAGGGTGGGAACCAACGCGCTAACAACATCCCCGTCGTCTCAAGTGTAGCTGGTTTGCTTGGGTAGGGCGAAAGACACGTTTTCGAAAAGGTTCCATGATAGTTTTCCCTTGTTGGTGAAATGCTTTGCCTAGATGAAACGTCTCTCAGCTTTCCCCAGAAGAAACTTGAGATTCAAGCAATAAAATTGGCGACAGCACTACGGCTACGCCCTGTGCACCAAGTAGTTTGGGGAACACCCTATGTTCAAACAAAAGCGAGAAATGAAGCGGCTTCGAATGGGCGTTCAAAAAGGAGCCATACATTTTCATCGCCGACCTTTTGCCGCCTCGCGGCCCTCGTGTTTCCTGCGGGAACACAGCAAGATGCAAAAAGCTCATGAAAAGTTCATGTGTGCAGCATAGTTTGCTACATCCAGTTGTTCATCGCTTTCGCATTCCAAACGCCACCTTTCGCGACACATGTGTTTCTCGGTAGACCCTGCAGGAACATACGTAAGTTGCCACACATCACAAGCAGAACATGCTGAACCCCCAAGCGAGGATTCGTCATGAGCTCGAAAATCCGGGAAACAGCGCTTGCTCAATTTCTCAATTTGCTCAAATGCGTTGGCTCGAATTCTTTGACCGACATCCAACTGTTGACATGGGATGCATCCTACCACTGCCTGGCAAAACAGATTCACAAAGAGCCGATTTGCAGCCTTGAAGCCAGTCCAGACCGTTGCTCGCAAAACCATACCAATGTGGGTGGTTGCTTTCCCCATGACCATCTCTGGATGGCATGAATGTCTCCATTCCACAGGGTGTGGGCGCTACAACACCCAGAAATATTTCGAGAGTCTCTGAGAGGCAAAGCGGACGGCGCCTGCTGCCTCATCGCAACCAGCCTGCCGGAAAAGAGTGCTATCCCAGAAAACCAGGTTCATCCTCAAGTCAAAACAAACCAACCCAAAATCGTGACGTACTCTACGAATACAAGGCCAGTAACGGAAAACAATCCTCGAGCCTCAGACACAACTCGATAAATAAGCCTGTTGGCAGGTTCTGCATGCGCTTGTGTGACATGTCATGCTGACATGTCTGCCTAGGACGTGTTGTTGAACTAGAAAACACTATGGCCATGTGTCAAAGCCAGCTGACACCTTGCCGCTTTGTACCTTTGTGAAGCCAAAAGAAAAACCTTTGGGCGCAGCCCCGTAGGGGCTCAATCCCTTGACAGCTGAAAAGGCTCCATGTTTATCGGTGGGAGGCTATCCTGGGTCAACGTTACAACATCACGACTTGCGCAACAAGAAATATCTGTCAGCCTCTGTCAGGAAAAGGCCCACGTCCACACACACGCCCCATGCCCATTGAGAAGTTGTGAGCCACCAAAGGGCAAATAAGAGCTATTCGCTTGCAAGGACCACCCTAATCGCTGTCCCGCCAGAATTCAGGGACTCCCGAACGTAAAATGCATCCCGTCAACATTCGGCCAAATTACCTAAGGGATAAGACATCTGCATCCAGGTTGCCTTTTGGTTTTCCCTGACAGCCCCCCCCCTCTCCGAGGGGTCCTGTCCGAAAACCGATTTCTGTCTTGGGCTTGCGTCTGTGGGATAAATTGTCTTTGGAGCCTCCATCCAGGTAGCAAATAGGAAGCGCCGCGTTCGGAGCGACGAACTCTGCTTCAGTCTCACAATCAACCATCCTGCTTGGCACGGATATCCTGCGCTGGGGTAGTAGTGGCAACTTGGGCACATTTGCAGCTGTTGAAGAAGGCTGCCAACTAGTTTCTATGAATGGACTCACCACAAAAGCCAGAGCATCATGCAGCGTGCAATGTCTTTCCCTGCGCAATTTGCTTGAGCCAAAGCCTTCCTGGGCTGTCCTACAAATAAAAAACAACGACGAACACCCTGTGAAAAAACTGCGGGCCTAAACCCAGCCTAGACTTTCGTTCTGCCAGCAACCTGGAGAAGCAATACTATGCTCACCCTGAGGTACCCTGAGGAAGAACATGCCAACAATTAAAGAAGTGGCTCCCGTCTTCCGCTTGCTCGGATCCTTTTCCCTCACAGCAGCTGCGCATCGTTGGTCTCGATGCCGAACTCTGCTGGCTTGGGCCTCAAGTGGGATGAGGTTGGATCAAGTGGAGATGAGCTAACAGGCCTGACGCGCACGCCTTCATAGCAGTCAGGCTTGGCGAATAAATGGCAATGCTCAATCAACTAATCAACTGAAATCATGGGGATTGTCTGATGGCTTCGCCTTATGTGTCGCAACAACGTGGTCGCCAAAGCCAGACGTGGAGTGCGCAAAAAACACATGAGGGCACCTCAAAGTATCCTGCACGAGTTGGTTGCCCCTTTCCAGCTTCCACGTAGAATGCGAAGGCACACATTACAAGCCTGGTGCACGGGCCAAGGCACATTATGAAAGCTTGGGTGCTTATACATGAGCATGCTCGTATGTATCCTGCGAGCCTATTTGAACCTCTACATGGCTGAACGGCACCCTAGACGGGCACTCCGCACATGCACGCGCTGCAGCAGAAGCAGTGTAGTATGCCATTTGGGCAGCGTCGCGGCAAAAAACGCATTGGAGCAATCCTGCGGGCAGGCAATTGTAGTCTCGAAGCTTGGTGGTTGGCGCGCGTTGTCTCTGGGCAAGCGCTAACTCATGGTAGCTTTGTTGTGCTCATTGTTTTTTGGCGGTCGTTGTGTGGCACTCAAGTACCCAAAAAAAGAGCACCTGTTGTGGTGAGATCACAGCCCAAAGCCCCAAAAAAGACCCTTAGGGGCTCATTCTGAGACACCGCTGGTGGGCTTCTGTGATAGAACGGCGGGGCACACAGTTTACAGAATGGGATGCTTAATCGCACACATTGAAATGTGTCAACTTGGTTGGGAAGTCATGGCACAGGATGCCTGGTTTTATGTTGAGGATTGAAAGGATCGTTCCATTCAAGCCGCACCGAGTCGTTTACTTTCAAAGCCATGTTTAAGGGCATTCCCCATGCGAAATCACATGCAAACACGCACACACACACACACACACTGTTCGGACATGTCACTGTGACGAATGACTTTGTTCGTCAATGATGCATTTGCGCAGGGACTTGTTCCGCGAGGGGTCCGGCAGCATGAAATCCCCCCTTCAAACAAGACTTTCTGCGTAGGAGCCTTGTGCACTGCTCACGTCAAACGAGTTTGGCCGACCGTCGAATCGTGGCTTCGCAGAATTCCCAACAAATCAATCCCCACCGGGAAAGCACCCCTGGCATTGAGGGTCAGCTGGCCAGCGTGCGTAAAGGTTTTTTTTGTTTTTGGTGTGTGTGTGTGTGTGTGTGTGCGCGTGCGCGTGCGCGTGCGCGTGCGCGTGTGCGTGTGCGTGTGCGTGTGCGTGTGCGCGTGCGCGTGCGCGTGCGCGTGCGCGTGCGCGTGCGCGTGCGCGTGCGCGTGAGCGTGCGCGTGTGCGTGCTCGTGTGCATGTGCGTGTGCGTGTGCGTGTGCGTGTGCGTCTGTGTGTGTGCGTCTGTGTGTGTGCGTCTGTGTGTGTGTGCGTCTGTGTGTGTGTGCGTCTGTGTGTGTGTGCGTCTGTGTGTGTGTGCGTCTGTGTGTGTGTGTGTGCGTCTGTGTGTGTGTGCGTCTGTGTGTGTGTGCGTCTGTGTGTGTGTGCGTCTGTGTGTGTGTGCGTCTGTGTGTGTGCGCGTCTGTGCGTGTGCGCGTCTGTGCCTGTGCGCGTCTGTGCGTGTGCGTCTGTGCGTGTGCGTGTGCGTGTGCGTGTGCGTGTGCGTGTGCGTGCGCGTGCGCGTGGGCGTGCGCGTGCGCGTGCGCGTGCGCGTGCGCGTGCGTGCGCGTGCGCGTGCGCGTGCGCGTGCGCGTGCGCGTGCGCGTGCGCGTGCGCGTGCGCGTGCGCGTGCGCGTGGGCGTGTGTGTGTGTGTGTGTGTGTGTGTGTGTGTGTGTGTGTGTGTGTGTGTGTGTGTGTGTGTGTGTGTGTGTGTGTGTGTGTGTGTGTTTGTGTGTGCGCGTTTTTAGAGGACCCCACACAAAACCTGTTTTTTTTGTGGTTTTCCTCCAAAATCACAAAAAGCAACAAGTTCCCTCAAACAACACACACCCAAATGGTATTTCCACGTTCATTTAGGGTATTGCAATGCTCCACGCGCTGTGCACCTGTGCTTAGCTCGAAGGAAATCCCGGGCATCCGTTCAATTGCCGTTCAAGCATCAGGCATCGAATATGCAACCATCTGCGGATACGTCCCCGGGGAAAAGTATGTCCAGTAGTCAGTAGTCATAGACTCTCTTTAACACCAACAGGGGAAATCAAGCTTAAGTGAATGGAAGTTATGCAACCAACGAACTCAAAACAATGCCCGTGGTTTCCTAACAGGATGCAAGAGCAGGACTTGCTAAAAGCCTGTGAAGACACCTAGCCACCAGTGGCCATGGCCAACAAAAACGGAATCAGGTATTGGGTTTGCCCTTTTGAGTAGGACATTGATCCATATGGATTGTAATGGGGAGATTTGCAATTCAGGATTCGCCCTGCAGGTTCCAGCACTGAACGCGAGGCATACAAGATCAAACTAGGCATGGACCTGTCAGCAGGTTGCTATCTTGCCGGATGGATCCCTTCTTCTTGGATAAGCGCCCTATAGAAACAGGAGTTCTCTCTGGCCCTTGGGCAATTTCAGGGTACGGCATGGCCTGTGGAGCTATGGAGGCCAACAAGTGTGCGACAACATTGATATGCCACCACTACAAGTTGGTAAACACATAAGAGGCAGTAGGTTGTACTTCCATACCTCGAAAACAATGAGATAACATAAAATAAAAAATTAAAACGAAACACAAACAAACAATGGAAATGGAGAAACACCAGATGCCGAGCGCCGGCAAATGCTGAACAGCCAAGGGCATGACCGGATCCCCAAGTTCTTGCCGCTTGGCCGGTTCACATACACCTCAGGTTGCTCTTGTTCTTGCAAGGTGGGGGCAGGTGGGGGCGGGCACAGGATAATTATCCCGAAACACATCTGCTATTGATCCAGGCAAGTCATTTAGGACATGTGGACAACATTTGCAGGTTGGACACCCAAAGCGATGGTTGCCTTTTGGTCTTTTGGCTGTTAAAGCCAACTAAAGGCGTTGGAAAAGAAGGGGCGCGCCCATACGAGCCACGGTCAAAATGGAAGCTGTGAGTCTCTCGGTCGTACATTTAGCGAATGTCCAAAACTTGAAAAACATGGCATCTCGCGAATCCCCTGAAAAAGTCTGCTGAGACCCCCCTCATGTTCCAACCAATTGAATCGACAATCGACCCCGCTTCCTGAGTAGATTGGCCAAACAGTCCAAACTGTTAAGTTGCCACCATAATGGTCCCCCCAAAAAGTGTCCAAAGTCCAGCAACTCAGGGAGAGAGCGTCCGACTGGATATGTTTGACTGAGCCTGACAGCTTTTGGGACATGCCCGAGGCTGCCGCGGCCAGGACGGTTCGGCCTCGCGGTGCAAGTCTGGGCTGTTCCATGGAGGGTTGGCCAGTCAATTTTTCCATAATGCCTATAGGAAGCCACATGGGGACCGGTTCCTTGCGTATCCCAAAAATTAGGGACCACAAGCCAAAAGGAAGCCAGCAACAAAACCACCGGGACACCTCAAGAACACCCAAGAAAACCCCCTGGTTTGCTTGCCAGGGGAAAACATCTGCCTTGCCCAAAACAAAATATACTCCCTGCAGAATGCCATGCAAAGGGTGGTTCTTTGGGTTATATGCTAATCCCAGAGCAGAAAATCGTCACCTTGGACAATCTCCGGGACCAGGGGCCCCAGCCGAAGGTACGGCGGCGTAAGCCCTGCAAGCCACCTGCTGCAGGACTGGCTTTTAACGTTTGCGTCCAACCCGCGTTGTGTTGAATTGGCATGCGCAAGCGCCGCTGTGCGGCATGGGGCGTTTTTTAAAGTCTGCGGCACGCTTTTTGCTGCTGACCGTGAGGGCATGGGCAAAAGACAGAAACCTTGGCTGCATACAACATTTCTTTGTGGCTGCCGGTGTCTCGAACCAGGCACTTCAAATTGGCTACGCCAAAGGAGAAGCAACTATCCGGAGGAAGACAAGGATCTAGCAAGAAATCCTTGGCCGCGAAAACCAGGTATCCCGACCCCTTCACCAACCAGAGAGCCCTGAGCATCTTTTTGTCTATGCGTAGCTCGCGTAGCCCGCAGGGCTTGAGACTTCGACCAGTGAGGCCTTACAAAAAGGCCCCCGAAAATCTTTCAACTCCTTCAGGCACCAGCTGAAACACAGCAAGAGAGAGCGCCAGCTCTGACGCTCTGCGCTTGTTTCTGGGCGCACCACTCAAAAGACGCATTCGGAGCGAAATCAATTTAGCGCTCGTACTGAATGGCAGACCGGCTGCCAGGCTCCATAATGGGCTTGATGAGGTCGTTGATGACCTTCGTATGCTCTGGATGACTGGCATACGCCTCGTAGTCCTCCACGGAGGCGAAATCTGCATACCTGACACAATGCACCTGACTCGCGTTTTTGCGATGCCTGACTCAACCTGCCAAGCCCCTTTGCAACGTGCAACGTACTTGGTGATAGGAAGCCCGGCCGCCAATCCATCAAGATCAGAAACCTGTTGGACCCCTGACTTCCGCACGACTCAGGACTGCGAAGCCATAGTCAAAACACGTCAAACAAAGGAATGCGGGCAAACCTTGCTTGCTTAATGACAAAGCCCAGCTATATAGACCAGCTGTTCGACCTTGGTGGTTGGAGGTGGCACCGGGTTGCCCGTTCCGAAAATCAGGAGGGAAACACAGCGGGTCTCTTTCACCAGCTCCCACCGAAACCGAGAGTTCACCCGTCTCTTTCACGAGGGCTACCTCGTTAAAGGGCATGCGCAAATGAACCACTCATTTCTTTTAAGGGCGTCTACATGCGATTTTTTTATTTGCTCCCTTTTTCAGGGTTTCAATCTTCTGCCCAATGTGGGGGTTGATCAAAAGGTCCTTTGCGTGGCATGACCGTTGACATGGCAAAAGTAACCCTTGGTCATGGCCGGCCACAAAACTGGAATATTGATCAACCCCCATGCGTGGTTCGTCGCCAAAAAGGCACCTGCCGGCAAACGAACCATCAGCTTCCCTCGAAAATGGTGGGTGGCTCGGATTGGTTTAGATCGGGGCCCTCAAAACAGTGGCTTCCCATTTGCCCCCTTTCAAAAGGCCAGAGGTTCAATCCCATCTACCCGGTTCCACTCCAAAATCCAACTCCGAAAGCGGGCTCCGAACCCCCCCGCCCCGTTCGCCCGTTCGCCCCCCCAGTGGCCAGGGCGCCAGGTGCAGCTGCGGTTCTTGCCGGCCGGGTGGCTTTGACCGCTGGGCAACTTCAGGTCAAATCCGAACCTCCGGTGGAATGCACGTATATGCACGTGCAATATTATATATATATATATATGTATTGTATTACCTATACACATACATGATGTATATATATATATAAACAACTATGTATATATGTATATGCCTACAAACACGTATTTCGCAACTATCCTGAAATTTACGAAGCATTTAGGGGATCTTCATGATCGCTGAGCTCCTTTTACCACGTGAGCCCGCAGGAAAAATTGCTGATTAGCTCACCTGATGGGAAATCGGGCATTTTGTCCCTCACAAAGTCAATCTTGCCAAAGACCAACTCCCATCTTGCGGGTGAGGGTTTTGCCCTCCGAACTCCAAACTGGGGCATCATTCAACCAGCGGTGAATGGGTTTCCTTTTGCGTCGGGTCATTTGTGCGCAAGTGGACTTGACAATCGATTATATAATCTGAGGGAAGGGGTACCCCATTTCAAACAGGAGCTTCACTTTTGCAAAGCTGAGCGGGCCTTCCCGAACAGTCAAACAATCTAACGCTTTGAAGGCTCAAAGGACGACATCAGCTTCCGACATATTTTAAGGGGCCAAGGCTTCTCAATGACAAGCTATGCAGGTTGCATCGGTGGCTACTCCAGATTGACGTGGAATCCTGGTGAGCGCAGGGCAAACTTTGATGCAAAGAAACTCAAAGTCCAGGATGCCGCACTTCTCCTTCAAAGAACCTCGGATCGAGTAAACCATCAGAAAAACCTCTATGGGCCGTACCTGCAGCCGATGCTCGTGGACCTGTTCCGTGGAATTTCTCCTTCTCAGATGGTTCAACTCTCCGACACGGGACTGGCTGACTGATTGGAATGCAGGGCTTTCTGGAGAGGAGGGGGCGGCAAGCTACTTAACGTGTGCACAGTGTGACGCCACGCGGAAAGAGCCCTGCAGCAGGGTTGACTGTCACAAAGAATGTGTTCCACAACTCAAAATGCGCACGACGGTGCAGAGACGCGGCTAACTAGCACACACGACAAATCTGGCGCAAGGCGCCTTGGGTTCTTTGCGTCGTGAATTCATCTGCCCTACTCATCGCACAAGCACGTTTATAGCTCTCGGAACCCAAAAAACAAACAGGGACTTTCAAGGTGGAATCCATTGAGCCGGAAGTTTCCCTTTGCAGGGCATCTGCGCAGGGCTAAGACTTCCCAGGAGAAAACTCGAGCTGATTGCCGTTTCGGCACCAAGGCCCTCCTTCACAGCAAGGATCTGCTCACTCGTGGTGGCTTCCTGCCGAGCTTCGGATCTGAAGTTACATCTCTCCTTTGTGACTTTTGTCTCTAAACATCACAGAAAGAAGCTCACTTCGATTTGGCCCAAAAGCTGAGGTTTCAAACAAAGCCTGCGGACCCCTTTGCCAGACCCAAGCCAAGCGGCAAGGCGTGCTCATCGTTACTGGTTGGAGTGGGGAGAAACACGGCCAGAGTTTTGAATTGACTAATTTAGCTCAAACAAAGCGAAGTCTGGCAAACTCAACTAACCTCAACTAACTTCGTGGCTAATCTGAACAATTCTTGGCTAGCTAGTCTTTGCCATACAGCACTAACTTTGCGTCTCACCTTAGCCAACCGTCTGGCCGACCTTTGCCCTTGAATAACTTTTCCTTGACAAACCTTTATTTGCTTTCCGGCGAATCTTACCTATCCTGGGCAAACTATCCAATTAGTCAAGCAACCTTGACTTCTTGAGGCTGCCTGCAGGAAGACAATGCTGCTATGGGATGCCTGAAGGGAAGACCGCAGAAAAACTGCGGCGAGGCTGCCGCAAGACTTCCAGAAGGCTACACGCCTACCAGGAGACTAGATGAAGACTATGGGAAGACCATGAGGTGAAGGAAAACTATCAACTTCAGCCAGCCTGGTAAACTGTTTGGCAAATCTTAAAGGACCTTTCCACCAGGGAAGCGTACAGGAAGCACGCAGGAAGACTAGCCTCAACTAATCTTGAAAACCTTGACTAAGCTTAAGTCACTTTCCCACTAACCTAACTTGTGTAGCCTCAACCAAGAAGACTACACGGGAAGACTGATCGAAGACCATGGAAAGACTATGGGAAGACCAATCTTAATATTGAGTGCCCGTAGTTAACCTCACATAATGCCTACAAACAGACCTTGTCTAGCTCTCCGGCCAACCGTAACTAGCTTAATCTAACTTTCCGGCTAACTAAACGAACGTGAAAACACTTTAAGCTTAGCTAAGCATCTCTCATCCGGCAGGAAGCCTACAAGAAGATGGCGGGGCAACTACAAGAACACTGGAACACTATGAGAAGGCTGGGCAAGGCAAGATGCAGGAAGATGGGAATACTACGGCAGGCTTACGAGGCCACACGCTGCTAGAACATGGGAAGACACAGGAAGCTCGCAAGACTGCAGGAAGAGCACAGGAAGACAAACGACTCGATAACCGGCCTTCACGCCAATCATGACCACATGACGAACCGACCGCGCGGCACGTGCGGCCATCAGGGCAAGCGCTTTCGGGGGCTGCGGCTCGACCCGAGTCTTGGCAGCGGGTCTCAAGGCATACGAGCGGCGCCTCCCTGCCATGGATATTGGCAACTTGTTACACCCCCCGAATAGACCAAAGAACCTGAAGATGATGGCCACAAAGCCTGTCAGTGTGCACCATCGCCACCACCACCACCCAACCAACCAACAACCACCTAAGCACCCAAGCACCCAGGCAGCCAAGCAGCCAATCAGCCGAGCAGCCAATCAGCCGAGCAGCCGAGCAGCCAAGCAGCCAAGCAGCCAAGCACCCACCACCCACCACCACCCACCACAACCCACCAGCGGCACAGGCCACATGCACACTCAGCCTCGAGCCAGCGACTGCATGGCGCACAGCTTCCTGCCTGTTTTCCGCTCGCCGACCCGCGCGCGAAGGCCTGAGAGGCAGAGAGGGGAAGACCTGAGGCGATCGTGGTCCAAGTGCCCCTCAGATCCGTGCTGCAATGAAAACCTGGAAGACGCGGGGACATGAACAGTGCATCTGACTAAGTGGCTCAAGCAACTCTGAGGGGCGGAACCCATGGGGCGCTGTACACTGCTCAAGGCGTCCGGCCACGACGATGCCCTGGTTGACACATGCCAGAATATGTCCAAATTACATGCAAGAGGAGCATGATGCTGCTGCACCACTTCCACGCACATCAACCATGCTCATGCCAGCCGCACCTGTCCTCCCTGAGGATATAAGCATGAAAGCTGAGAAGCGCGAATTTGAGACACATCCATTGAGCAACCTATTTGGGGCTTCCAAGTTGAGATACAGGGGCTCCGTATGAGAATCAACCTTATGGTCAGAAGGACGGTGGCCCCTGAGTTTGACGGGCAAACCTCCGATGCTTCCTGGATTTGCCTGACTCGGTTTAAGATGGGAAATGCCCAATGGGCGCTTGTGCACCGTTTCTGCCAGAAGTTGTATTCCCAATGGACATGCTTTGAAATAAGCTTCCTTGGGCGAGCCAGGGATGGGGCCCATAGGGGCCCAACCAAGATTTCTTGCTAGGTCTCCGAAAGTGTGCGTGAGTCCAAGTTCAACAGCTGACATGAGCAATTCACCTTCCACTTGCAATGCTCACATACGACACGCTCTACACCAAAACAAATATTATGACCTTGATCTTTGTGAAAAGATGACATCGGCATTCCGGTTGCGGAGAGTTGTCCTTCCTCAATGCAAGCGCGCCATGTGGGGTGTCTTGCTTGACGGACCGGTTTGCTCAACCTCAGGGGTGGGTTCACGAGCCTATCGGAGCAAGAGAACAGTGAAGATCCCGCCAATTTGCGAAACGAACTTCACGGCCCCAAGACGCCATGTCTGGCGACTCATGCTATGATCCGTGGCATCACAGGTATGCCAAAGAAAGACACTACCAATCCTCGGAAAGAAGAACAAGTGCTGCTTATGCGCGATAGCCTTGTAAATACAAAAGTTATCCTCGCAGAGACACACCAGAGACACACCAGAGACACACCAGAGACACACCAGACACCAGAGACACACCAGACACCAGAGACACACCAGAGACACACCAGAGACACACCAGAGACACACCAGAGACACACCAGAGACACGCCAGAGACACACCAGAGACACACCAGAGACACACCAGAGACACGCCTAGATTGAAAGCTCAAACTCGCTGCAGTTTAGACACATCGCGGCCTGCTGTGATTTACATGTCCCGCAGGATGCTTCTCTACCCCCACTAAGTACACAGTTGCGTTTCTTTCTGAGGATGTGCGTGAGGGGATCACTGACTGCTCATCTCCTGAGCATGGAATATGCCCTTATACTGGCTTGCAGCTTCCTGCGAATTCAAGGCACCAACTGGCAGCATGGGCCGAGTTGAATCGCGAGGGGAGCCTCCAGAATTTGCTCAGAAGGTGATGTTTCCACAACACGCAAAGGGACACATGAGCAGCCCTAAGCAACCATCGGAATTTTGCACTTGTGGATGTCAGGGCTTAGATGTAACTTGTGTCACGGTTGAGTTGGGCCGGAGAGCTACGCTCTTGCCCAAACTGCCAGCCTGTTGGCGCAAGTGCCGAAATGAATTTTGGGGCGATTGAAACACAACCCGCAGGGTCGGCGGAGGGGTCCTCAGCTGCACACTCTTAGATAGTCTTCCCCGTGGCGAAAGGCACCAGAAAGTCACACCATGGCCCAAAACGTTTTCTCTCACTGAAGTCGCAGAGCCCACCGCGACCGTCACCCCGGAAGGTGTGAAGGGAGGCTGTCTGAGTCCTTTCCAAACCCTCACCTGGTGCGGCGCAGGACTACGCCAACTGCCCATGGCTCTCCTAAAGCTGACTTCTTCCTCTCCCAAAACAGATGTTTCCGGGAGCGCCAGTTAGCGGAAACGTGAAGCGCACTGACACTACCAGCACTGATTATGATTCCTCCCAAGCCCAAGCAGAAGTTCACCGGCTGTATTGGGACACAAACCCATCCCATGGCAATTCTAAAGAATCGCCAAGATTGAGAGCTTATGAAGAGGTATCATTTCTCTTTGGAGCTGATCCGTGCAAAACGGGTGGAGACCAGCTTCAGCTTGATATCGCGGACATGTCTTTCACTTGCGGGTCTGCCCCAAATCGAAGCAGTAACCGCACCATGTCCATGTTCTCGTCCTTCACTGCTCTTTGGAGAGGGTAGCATTTCCGAAGGCCAAAGCACTCGACCTTCGGAGCCTCAGCGCCGCATCTCTTGCGTAGAATGTCGGCTGATTTGTGATCACTCAAAGGCTTACTTTCAATGCTTGCCAAAGGCTACGCCATATTTATCTATCTATCTATCTATCTGCCTATCTCTATATATGTTTATTCAGAGAATGGGGGAGAAAAAGAGGAGAGAGAGAGAGAGAGAGAGAGAGAGAGAGAAAAAAAGAGTTGCTGGAAGCAACTTCCTAGATCAGGCGTTGCCACTGGTTTGTGCCGCGAAGCATTCAGGTCCTCCTTGTCAAAATTGTTGCTGGCCAGGAAGTCCCTCACGAGTGCCTCGTTCAGACATCGAAGCCCAAAACGCATCCGACTTTGCTTGAGCTCGATTTCTCAGATGCCCAGTGGCCAGGGGAGAAAAAAAGGAGAAAAAGGGCATCCTTTTTCTGGGTTGGTTGAGTTCAAAGGGAACCCTTCCCAAAAAAAGGAAAAAAAGAGCACCACTGGGCAACTGGGGGATAGTCAACACTTGGACACGCACCCAAAAAAACATAAAACAGCGCTTGCGCCACAGTCTAAGGTGCCAGGTTCTTCTCTTGGCGTCTCCGTTTCAGCTCCTCCCGCTCCTTGCGCCGCTGTCTGATCTGCTTCAGCCTTTCGGCGACCTTGGATCAGGGTTCCACTTTTTGACTACCCCAAGATGGACTTAAACCCAGGGGTTCCCCTTTTGGGGGTAGTGAACCATCCCTGGGTTTAAGTCTACCCTGGGGTAGTCAGAAAGTAGTACCTACTGCTTACTTGAAGAAACTCTGCCAGATTCTAGTTCAACCAGGGCCAAAGTGTGATGGACGGATCCTTCAGCTGCCCCGTCGCGGCGAGACAACTGACATTTGCATGGAAGCTGACAGGACCCCATAAGTATGCCCTGAAAACCTGCAGGTGAGGTTGTTCGACCTTCGGATGCTTGGCGCGGTCTGCTCATGCGAGTTCTCCGTGGATCAATATCATGGTCAATTGCAAAGTGCGGCCTTTGCATGGCTTCAAATGTATGAGGGAACAGGTAAGACATGCACAGGGCTCATTGAAGCCCATTCAAAGTTTATCTTTCCATACAATCTGTTTCGAGGAATCTTGATCAAACTTGGTAACACCGAGGCAAGCAAAGCCATGGCTCGAACGAAGTACTTCCAGAGAATCCTCGCCTATTTCCTGTTTTTCCTGAGAGGCTCGGGTGCCATTCTGCTCCAATGCCGAGCTCTTAGGGCGCTGCCACAATGTCGCCCTTGAGGAGGCTCACGGGTGGGTCGCATTTGAGTTTGCAGCGGCCGCCGACCTGCTCAAAGCAACTGTCTTCGATGACTTGCATGGCTCCCCTGCCCCTTGAGCTTGCCGCAGGCTGCGCGGTACGTGGCGTTGCTTGCCCAGAAGAAACAACAGAAAACGAAGCTGTCACTAGTGTAATATGTCAAGGCCATGCTGGGATCTAGGGGCCAACAATCATTTCCTTTTCCACTTTGGGCCAATCCCCGCCTGCCCGCGGCGCCCCTTTGCGACGCACGTCCAAGCTTGACAGTGCCCAAGAGACATAGTTGCATTCTTCACGTCCTGGTATGCGTCAGGGTGCACATTGCCCGCGCTCACATGAAACTCATGCGCAGCGCCTAGCAGTTTACAACTTTACAACACCAAACAAATAAGGCGGATACTAGCATAGGCCACTGCGTTTCAAGGCTTGTCCTACAAGCAAGGGGGCAACCAGTGGGGCAACCCAATTCAGTGCCAGTGACAACCTTTCGCGCCGTAAGACGGCTGGCAGCTCTCAAGGCAACAAGGGAGTACAGGGCACCATTGGATCCCTGAAAACTCTTGGACTCTTTGGCTCGCGCATTATCCGCTGGCCTGGTCCCTTACCCCAAAAAGAAACCGCGGCCGGGATTGTGCTATTCAACCACCCGCATCGCAGCAACATTGGCCCCCTTCACAACTTAGGGTCGCCATATCCCGCTTTCGCGGCAGAAGCTGGCATCCATGAAATAGAAACATGTGAAATATGTGCTTTTTGAATACTTCTTGTTTCAACCTTTTGCAGGAAATGCAAATGAGAGCGACCCATTTTGGGGAAGAACCCCCCGCGGGCGCAGCATATCTTTTTGGCGCTCAGCATTCATTCGGGCGCAAGCAGGCGCGGCTCCTCCTCCTGGGAGAGTGCGTGGGCCTGAACATGCCTTGAAAAGCTTCGATGTCACATAAGAGGCGAAGCTATGAGAACGTAGGGTTGGGGGTAAACAAGATTTAGTCGTGGTTGTAACTTAAGACATGTAACTTGCGAGCCCCTTACTTTGCTCAACAAAGATGTAAACATATAATGTTCAGCCGCAGCTCTCTTCTGAAGCATGTTGCAGGCCTGAGCCATTTCAACATTCAAGTCCTTCAAACCTGGCAACCAGATCCTTGACCAAGGGCACGGGAAATGCAGTGCCCACAACACTAAGAAGGTTTCAACACAAGTTGGGTTGCAATGCAAAGGTTTCAACATTGACACAGGCTGGTTTTTGAGAAAACTGGCGGCCAGTTTTGTGCCCTTGGCGTCAAAACAGCCCGAACTAAGGGCGATCTTGCGGCTGAGCTCGTTTTAAATGCCAGCCGTTCGTTCCCCCACAAACAGACGGAATGATGATCGATCGAACCTCGAAGGGCGCCAGGTACGAACTTCATTGGCGAACCATCCTCCCGGAGGATGCCGAACAACGCTCCAGCCGCTTGGATGACTTTGAGAGTGAAGTCGATAAGTGTCGCAATCCTGGCGCCCAATGCCCAGCAGCTCGCGAAACACGGCATCATCAAATGTGCTCCTTTTGCAAGCGGCCTTGAGGGTCCCAAGTTTGTGACGGGGGCGCGGCATGCGCCCCATTTTGACCTTTATGCTGCAAAGGTCAAAGTTGGCTATCAGGGCCTTAAGCAATCCAAAGGCATCGCCTTTTGGCAAAACCTACGCAAGCGGCCTAGCACGAAAAAACTCCAAGCACCTTACGCAATGGCACAAAAGGCTTGGGTTCATACCCTGTGACCTCTGAACAAAGGATCGCAGCTCCAACAGTGTCCTGCTGCTGATTCCTCTCAAAAACTCAAGGTTGCAATACGCTTCGCGATTCGGGTTCAGGTTTCACTGGGAAACGTGGCCAGGGACAAACACCGCTTGCTTGTCCGGGCAAGGCACGTGAAAAGGGTCAACATATGTATATAATGGCTTAGCGCTACCTAAGAGTCAAGGCTCAGTTGCAGCTCAAGCTGCCATCTCACCCGGCCCACGATTCGTCCCACAAACAAAAAACGTTCGTGAAGCTAGAGCTTGCAACCACGTCCTGCCCAAACATGATTGCACCTGCTGCATCGATCATGGTTCAGCCCAATAGGGCTGCCCACTGGTGTCCCAAATCACTCTGTGCAGGCTGATTGAATTCCCAAGCTGGAAATAAGGGACCTGCCGCGCCCGAACCTTCATCGTGGGCGAGCTTGAGCTGGCTTTTATTTGTCCAAATCAAGCGTGAGCCCTTGACATGTGAAAAGCTCGACACTCGTAGTGCTGCTGCTTGTTTGAAGGAGGCAGCAGCGCATCCACACCCAATCTTGTCAAACTGGTGTTTGCGCAGTGTTGCGTAAGTGCAGCGAGCACGGACACGTGTTGGCCACGAAAAAGCGTCGTGCGCGTGCACGCGTATGTGTATCCAGAAAGTGGATTCATGAAGGCAGCAATGGAGCAGAGAGGCAGAGAGAGGGAGAGAGAGAGAGATAGAGAGAGACAGAGGGAGAGGGAGAGAGAGAGAGAGAGAGGGAGAGGGAGAGAGAGAGAGAGAGAGAGCGAGAGAATGAGCAAGACAGACAAACACAGAGAGAGAGAGAGAGAGAGAAAAAAAAATAACAAGAGAAACAAATATGTAGAACCCTGTCCAAGCAAACCACATTGAGAACATGCGTGGATAGTTGAGTCGCCGAGACGCAGATTGAGCACTTTGATCCAACTGCCCTCATCCAAGCCCTCCATCTCGAAAATGAAGGCGCAAACCAGCATCAAAACCTGGGCGACGTGGCAAGCACAGTATGGCCTCGCTCATGACAAGCGAGTTCAAAATATCCATGCAAATGTCAAAGGCACATTGACGATGCAGCTACATGCCTTGAATTGCAGCTGTCAGGAGTCGTTGAACAACTGAGACGGTTGGACTTTGATTGTGTCACTGCCAGCAAGTCTAAATCGCCGGCATGTTCCGCATAAGCTAAACAATCAACGCGTGGCCCTTTTCACCACCTGAGTGTCTGACTGAGAAACTAGCAATACTGCCGGCCGATTCTTGGCGCACTAGCGGGAAATGTGTTGGTATTGTCGGGGCTTCACCTTGTGACTCTGAGCAGCAGTTTGTTTGCTTGTTCATCCAAAAAAAAGCTAAGCTCCTGCCTTTTGCAACAAATCGCAAGGGCAGGCAATGCGGGTAATTGATGATGACACAGTCTTGGCCTGCCTTCATCCCACACAGGTAATGGATGATTTGTCATTGCAAATGGTTCCCAACTGTTTTGGATTGCCGCGCTTGCCCTGTAGGAACCCAGACAACTAAAAGGTAAACCTTTTGGAACGATAAACGCGACAGGGGAGACCAAAGGATCGAGTTTCGGCTTGTCGCGTCCTCTCGCTGCTAGGCTCAGATTGGCGTTCTCTTGTGCCGGTCTCGCGCGTGTGCGTGCGTGCATGCATGCTTGCCTGCCCACGTGCGCGCATGCGTGTGCGCCTGCCTGCCCGCGTGCGTGCAGGCGTGTGTATGTGCGTGTGTATGTGCATGTGCGTGCGCGTGTGTGTCTGTGCGTGTGCGCGCGCGTACGTACGTACGTACGTACGTACGTACGTGCGCGTGGGTGGGTGTGTGTGTGTGTGTGTGCGCGTGCGCGTGCGCGTGCGCGTGCGGGTGCGCGTGCGCGTGCGCGGGTGGATGTGTGTGTGTGGGTGTGGGTGTGCGTGTGCGTGTGCGTGCGTGTGTGGGTGGGTGGGTGTGGGTGTGGGTGTGGGTGTGGGTGTGGGTGTGGGTGTGGGTGTGGGTGTGGGTGTGGGTGTGGGTGTGGGTGTGGGTGTGGGTGTGGGTGTGGGTGTGGGTGTGGGTGTGGGTGTGGGTGTGGGTGTGGGTGTGGGTGTGGGTGTGGGTGTGGGTGTGGGTGTGGGTGTGGCGGGCGGGCGGGCGGGCGGGCGGGCGGGCGGGCGTGCGTGCGTGCG